AATATTTAGAACCAGCCATGCTAGTAATTAATTACTAACTCAGTTAAAAGTTGTAATTGGCAGGGCCTTACTTTATATGCTCCTTGGGGTGTGGACCTCTGTCTTTGTCTTGTATAGTTCTGAGCACGCTGTCAGTGATTGTAGTATGAGATAATCTATGCAGTTTAAGCATGCTTTAGATGCTACTTGTGCTCACATCAAAAAATGGTCATGTGTCTCTGTAACCTTATCTACACTAGGAAAATTAACTGTTGCTGGCAATAGCTATCAGAAATGGGTGCCATTCAGTGGTGCGCGGTGAAATTGTCAAGGCATACAGGAACTTTTTAGATGACAGATGAAACTATTTATTTTCTAAAAACCTACCCCTAGCAATTAATAAACCAGATACATATGTTTTGGCAAATACTAGTAGTCAAATATAATGAAAGCTGAGAATATACAAATATGTGATTGCCTGATTTTTCTACTGAAACTGAAAATCTACTCTTCTATCTTTTTTTGAGAAACTCCAAGGTGTAGAAATCTGGTAAACTGCGCAGATACATAAGCAATTCCCTTTTGATGATCACTTAAGCCAATTTGGACAGGCATTTGCTGTGCTGAGTGTTGCATGTGTATGTCTTAATGCACTTTGAAGTTGAAAAAGACTGTTCCATCGTGGCAGTAGAGTAGGGAATAGTCAGAATTAAGGTATCTGACTTGTTGACCTCAGACAAGCAAAATATGTAAATCCAGCATATGAATAGTTCTATACAAGTCCAAATTGATCTTTCCCTTGGAGCTGTTCTGAGTTGTACACCGTAAACAGTTCTGAGTGCAGCTGACTAATAAAAATACTGAGGTAACGTACTTGCAGAGATATGAGACTATCAGCTGGAAAATGTGTATGGAACTCCCTGAATCTTTTTGGAGAAATTCAAGTTTCTCTACGCTTTCAAATCATACTGACATCTGTTTGCTGACATTGTCAGTAACCTCAAAGAAGAGACGCTTACATGTTGCTTGGCCTTCTCTTGCTCTCTTTTCACGAGATTCGTGTGCATCTTGCTCTGACACCTTTCCAAAACTCATCACAAGTTTGTCGCTTTTGGTGAATTTATTCTGTCTCACGAATCTGCTGAATACACCCAGTATTGTCCATCTTGGTTTGAAGAACATCAAATAACTCTCCTGTCACTTCAAATATGTCACTCCAGAGGCAAAGGAGAAACATAAACTGAAAATCATCAAGCATGGTCAGAAAAGTCTTGGCTGAGGTGAAAGACGAGCATTCCAATCTCCTGGATTTTGCACTACACTTCTCTGTTCTGCTTAACAGTTTGTAAAAGCATTGAGTGAAAATTTCATCTTGTGGTACAAATAGAAGGCAGGCTTTGTTTAAATACGTTTCAGAGAAGTTCAGCTTGATTTGGAGATCAAGAGAAAAATGCAGATATTCCTTCTAAATTTTTTTTAAAGAATCAGTCATTATCTGATACTGTATCCTGGAAAACTGAGGGCAGGATTTAAAAAAATGAGCATAGCAATGAACAAGAAGTGCACAGGGGAATTTTTCACAAATATGTTTCTGAAGCCCACTTATATGACCTGCCATTACTGCTGCACCATCGTATGCCTGAGCTGCCAACCTGTCACTGAATTTAAACTTCTGGCACACCATTTCAACACAGTGATAAAGGCCAGCTGCAGTTCAATTGTTGCTAACTTCAGTAAAACCAACCAAGAATTCTGTAGTATCACCATTCTTGCTCATATAATGCAGTATAGTTGAAAGCTGAGACTTATTGGCGATTTCTGAGGTTTCGTCCAGTAAAATAATAACAAATGGCATTCCTCAATTTCTTTGACAATGACACTAAATCGAACATTACTTTCTGCTTTGATGAGGTCATTTTGAATTCTGTTTGATGTTCCTGAAAAAACACGAGAGGTTTCCAGATGCTGCTTGAGTAAATAATTGAACTCACTGACTAATTATAAGATTTTTACATAACTGCCCTGTCTCAGAGAATCATCTGATTTGTTATGCCCATGAAATGCCAGCTCTTGTTCTCCAAGATGACATACAACACAAATTAGTTGCTGTCAGAATCAGGCTATTTAGCAAATTTTTGTGTGTATTGTGTCTCAGCAATTCTCTATTGCTCATCAAACTGAAGATCAGTGCAAGCTTTTCCCAATGTTTGTAACTGTATGCAGGGTGCTATCTAGGGGCTTTGTTTAACATGGCAATTTTAGTATGCATCTAATTTGTCTATAGTGTGCTATATGAATTTCTATGTTCTCCTGTATATAAATTTAGCAGAACTTGGCTAGTGGCTACCACTGACTGCTGCTTATCTTGGTCCCACTCTCCAGTGCATACCTAGTGTATTCAGTTACACACTTGCATGCCTGACGTTCCACAAAATGGCGTCCTCCATGCAATGTGCCCTTCCATGTGTGGTACAAGCTAAGTCACACTGAGCAGAGGACATGGTTTTAAAATGGCATTCTCCATGCTCATTCGGGCAAGGGGGCTGGACAGAATGGGACCACAGGCAGCTAGTTTTTCTGGGGCACACAATGCATACGTTGCATGCATGGACGGCACACCCCTGGTGCAACTGAACCAGGGCTGGACTTTGTTTATTCGTATCTAGAAATGCAATTATCTATGTTCAGTTGTAGTTCAGAAATGGTTGGTAAGCCCAGGAGCTCTGCAAGTTTACAGAAAGGGGGTTTAGAGCAAGAAGCATTTATTAAGGTTTCTTATTTGCCTATTAGTATTGCAGCTGTTTTAAGTTTCATGTAATTGAATAATTTAGAAAAAAAATATTCCACTAGTCTAGGGATAGGCAACCTATGGCACGTGTGCCGAAGGCGGCGCGCGAGCTGATTTTCAGTGGCACTCACATTGCCTGGGTCCTGGCCACCGATCTGGGGGGGGGGGGGGCTCTGCATTTTAATTTAATTTTAAATGAAGCTTCTTAAACATTTTAAAACCCTTATTTACTTTACATACAACAATAGTTTAGTTATATATTATAGACTTATAGAAAGAGGAAAAAAAATAATCCCAACTATACATACAATATGATGGGGGCTAATTTAGCTACAACGAGTCAGGAAAAAAACCTTGGAGTCATCGTGGATAGTTCTCTGAAGATGCGCAGTGTGCAGAGGCAGTCAAAAAAGCAAACAGGATGTTAGGAATCATTAAAAAGGGGATAGAGAATAAGATTAAGAATATTGTTGCCCTTGTATATCAATGGTATGCCCACATCTCGAATACTGCGTACAGATGTGGTCTCCTCATCTCAAAAAAGATATACTGGCACTAGAAAAGGTTCAGAAAAGGGCAACTAAAATGATTAGGGGTTTGGAACAGGTCCCATATGAGGAGAGATTAAAGAGGCTAGGACTCTTCAGCTTGGAAAAGAGGACACTAAGGGGGGATATGATAGAGGTATATAAAATCATGAGTGATGTGGAGAAAGTGGATAAGGAAAAGTTATTTACTTATTCCCATAATACAAGAACTAGGGGTCACCAAATGAAATTAATAGGCAGCAGGTTTAAAACAAATAAGAGGAAGTTCTTCTTCACGCAGTGCACAGTCAACTTGTGGAACTCCTTACATGAGGAGGATGTGAAGGCTAGGACTATAACAGTGTTTAAAAGAGAACTGGATAAATTCATGGTGGTTAAGTCCATTAATGGCTGTTAGCCAGGATGGGTAAGGAATGGTGTCCCTAGCCTGTGTTTGTCAGAAGATGGAGATGGACAGCAGGAGAGAGATCACTTGATCATTGCCTGTTAGGTTCACTCCCTCTGGGGCACCTGGCATTGGCCACTGTCGGTAGACAGGATACTGGGCTAGATGGACCTTTGGTCTGACCCGGTACGGCCGTTCTTATGTTCTTATGACCTTCTAAAAACGTTAAAATGTATTACTGGCATGTGAAGACTTAAATTAGAGTGAATAAATGAAGACTCGGCACACCACTTCTGAAAGGTTGCCAACCCCTGCACTAGTCTGTGCTCCCTGGGACGCAGACATCCTGCTACATGCAATGCTTTCTTTTGCTGTGAATTAACTTCAAGTTGTATGGCCACATAAATATGAAATATACAAGTGCTGTTTCATTGGATGTATGCCATATTTCATAAGGCTATCAAGATTTAACTCTGTCAAGGTATATTTATTTTCCTTCTGTTTACTGATGACAGAAACACATCATCATTAGTAGTGGCAAATGAAATTACAGCACTAAAGATGAAGTTGTTTTTGATCTAGCAACTTCTCAATCCTGAATCACAGATTTGGAGGGAAAAATATTTAAGGAATCAGTCAATTGTAACTTATTTTTTTAGAAATGTATTATACACACAACCTCTGACAACTTGATCTGAACACATCAAAAACTTCTGTTAATTGCAAGTATTGCAAAGAAGGCAAATTTTTCCAGTGAATAATTTATTTTTCAAGGTGAAATGTAAATCTGCTTTATGAAAGAATGCAGCAAACCTTCCCCACCCCCACAAAAAAACAAAACAAAACAAAAACTCACTACTTCATTTAGTGTTCAGAAAAGAACGTGTGTGGGGTCCATTTCTCCCTCTACATATATAGTCCAGAGATTTTTAGATTTCAGATCATGTTATTGCCTGACACTTCAATTGTGCATAATAAGGAACCTTCAGCATGAGTACCAGCGAAACTGTATAGTATTTTTCTCCTCTAAAGGTGCTTATATATGATTGGCCCAGATCCTGCAAAAGATTGAAAAGGTTGGAGCTTGAATATAGAGAGGTCTGTATTTTACAATGTGAAGTCATAGTTGATATATGTAATAACACAAAGCTTCATGGTTATGTAGGTATTTATGAAAAAGATGGTGTGTCAAGAAGCAATTTAAGGTTGCATGTATGTGCATGTATTCAGCTTCGTTCTTAGCATTATTACCGATTTATTTAAAAAAATTGTAATATATTGCAATTTTTGTTTGTCTTAGGTCTCAGGGTAACAGTGTTGTTAACATCCTTCCTCATGGTGTTAGGAGCCGGCCTAAAATGTGTACCACTGTCAGATCTAACAATAAGAAAAAAGTAAGTGGAGAATATATTTTTTTTTGGTGTGTTTTAAATGTCCCTGTTTTCGCTGCTATTACAATACAGAGTAATGTCCACACAGGTTTTCCATATCAGACTCTGATATATAGAAACACCCATTCAATTTAAACTAGCTGTAACACTTCTTTCTTTGTTTCTCAGAATTGATTTTAGCATAATTCTTTGGATCTGAGGATTGCAAAGTACTTTATGAATTTCAGTTAATTAAGCCTCACCCCTGTGAAGATAAGCATTAAGCTTAGTTTTACATATGAGGAAACTGAGGTATAGAGAGGTTAAGAAACTTGCCCAAGATCATACAGTTAATCATCCCACACAAAATAAAAATAGGTTATTTGTTTGCAAATGTTAAATAAATAGCTTACATTTTATGTATTGGATTTCTGTGATCAAACACTGAGGCAAATGAACTAATATGAAAGTGCCCCTTTGCATACAGTATGTTACAGTCCTCATTCTTAGGAAATCTATATTTTAAAATTACTTGCTTTCTATGTGGGTGAAGTGTGTCCTTAGCACATAGGCAATGTCAGAGATGGGAATAGAAAGTAATATCTTAATAAAGCCACATAAATCCAAACTGTTCAGTTGTGCCTTTCTTTAGAATGTCTTGAATTTGGAAGCCTGTCCCTAGTACAGGCTACAAGTCCTATTTTTATGGTCATGCTAAATGACCATTTGTTGTTCAGCCATCTTTATTTGTCTGTTTTTATACACTCTCTTGCCAATAGGAGGCAGCATAATAACACATCTATACATTTCTTTTTCTTCAGAAAAGTGTAGTAGCATTGACTCTTGAATATTTGTGTGTGTGTGTACTGTATCTTATTATCTAAAAAAGGAGTTAATTTTAAAGGATTTTTTGGTCTGGAAGTGTCTCCTTGCTTTAGAAACTCAGTGGTGTATTTAACCTCATGTCTCTTTGCTTTCAGTAATAGCAGGATAATTGACTTGCTCTAGGACCACATGTATTTGCTCTTTGTGGATCATTCAGCAGAGAACAATGAAAAAGAAGGAATTTTTTAAATTCTCCTGCTCCTAGCCTTGCTCCTGAATTTCAGCCAGCCACATGCTAGTGCAGAGTACTTGCATTGCTCCAAAATGAAATAGCAATGTGGAAACTTTTTTGCTGAGGAAAGAACAGTGGCTTTTATTTTTGAAATGCCAGTACATTGTAGGGCAGAGATTTACAGACCACAAATCAGGTAAGTTGTAAAGAGAGAGGTGGATGGTTTAGGGGACAGGTAATCTAGGTCATTGATTCTAATCCAGACCAGGTCAGTAGTGAGTAAAGTTACCATCATGTGATGACTAGTTTAATGACTTAGGTGTAATGTGTTGATGATTTCATTCCAATTCTCAGATTACAAGTATGTATATTACAAAAACCACAGGTACACCTGATATTAACCATTTTTGTTGCTAGTCGCAGCAGGTTATTCAAGGATTCAATGGGCTGTGAAGTAAGGTTGAAGCATGTTGTCAAGGCAGCATGGGGAGTTGTTCTTGCTGATTGCCCATGCTGTACCTGTGCTGGGGATATGTAGCAGTACTCAGTCTCCAGCTCTGTCAATTCTGTATCTCTCACCAGCACCAACAATTAAATATTACAAAAATGTGTCAAATAGTTTAAATGCAGTGAAATGAAATATTTTGTACTCTTTCATCTCTGACCTGCTATCTTAGGGTTACAAAGCATGTAAGCACCAGAGAATATTTAAAAAAATAAACAATACAGAAAATTTGAGGCGTCAGTTATTGGTCATCTCAAACTGCAGGGTTGCCTTTGGAACAAGTTTCTTGAGAAGATCAGATTAATTAAATCAGCCTTTTGAGTAAACTTTTCCACCATGTCCACAATAAAGGGAAGGGTGGGGAGAAAAAAACCCACTCCCTTATAGGTGTTTTTATCACCAAGAGCCTCTTAAATTAGGGAAGGGAGAGGAGCTGAAGACTCGATGAAGACCAATAAGGACCTTACCATCCATATCTAATTTATCAGGGAAGCTCTTAGCTTTTATGGTGAGGTGTGCTACTGAAAACCAATAGATCTATCGGTAGCCTGAGCAGAATCCTGATGGAGAAGATTACTTATTTCATTTGTTTGTGCTGTGAAAATATATATAATTTCAAATTGAAATTGATAAAATTGCTAGATATTTTGCCTGTTCTATAAAAGTAGAGAGGTTTTTTTTTAGGAATTACAGCTCTACCTATGGAAATACACCTCTACCCTGATATAACACTGTCCTTGGGAGCGTTATAGGTGAAACCGAGTTATATCGAACTTGCTTTGATCCGCCGGAGTGTGCAGCCCCACCCTCCCGGAGCACTGCTTTACCGCGTTATATCCGAATTCGTGTTATATCGGGTCACGTTATATCGGGGTAGAGGTGTAGTTTGATCTTTTAGATTGTGTAATAAAAATATACAGAGGATTAATTATTTCCCAACTGTGTGGAAAAAAGGCTGTTCTTTTTATTGTAGATTTCTTGTGACAACTGTAACTGCACTGTGCACACTGTACATGCAGCTATCTGCTGTTAACTCTGCATTTTGAGGCCGAAGACTGAAAGCAAAGTTACATCACTTGAGAAATCTTTTATCCAGTAAAACTGTGCTTATTGAAGTAGGCATTCTTGATTTATACAGTTTTGTTTTTAAATTTTGTAACAGTTGGCTGTGCCCTCAACTGTGCAGTTGTTCCAAATACTCATAAGTATATGAGCTTTCATCAGACCATAGGATTAACAGGTTATGCTTTGGCAATACTTCAATAGTTTGTCGTTCCACAAATAAAGTCTTCTTGAATTTAAAACTGATTTTCTTCTTTATAATGCCTATTTTAGAAGGTGGTATAAGTGAAAATCTTTGAAACATTTTCGAATATTCTGTAATCATATTGTTACAGTCCAAGGAATAATCTATAGAAACATATGGTAATGGTTACCCATGGGAGAGTTGCAATGATGTTATGATGAATAGAATTAGAATAATGGCTTCTGGGTTTTTATTTTTGTTTTTGTTTTTTTCAGTCTCAGTTTGGACTGGTAGACATTTCATCCCAAAAACTTTGCCAACTCAAAGTATTAAGGTTGCTCAAGCACATTTCCTATCAAAGTGATCACTAAAAATCCAGGAGATCACTAATTAAATTTACGATCCATCCACACCAACTTGAATGCTTTTCTAGATAAACAGTATAATCCCCAAATATAGAGTCCACAACAAACTCCTCAGTTCTAGTGTATAACCACCCACAATGTACACATGCAGTACCTCAAAGTCACAGTCAAACAAAACTTAATACTGACCTCAGCTGACTTGTGTCCTGTATGCATGGATGAAATGGAGAGGTATAGATATTGGCATGAGACTCGTGGACCTAGGGTAACCAGACGTCCTGATTTTATCGGGACTGTCCCGATATTTGCTGCTTTGTCCCGCATCCCGACACTGGACAAACAAGAAATTTTGCCCTCCTGGAGGGACTCTTCCCCCCCCCCCCTCCGCCCCTTCCTTCCCCCATTGGCTCCCTCCCCAAATCCCCACTCTGGCCCTGCCCCTTCCCCAACCACGCGGCATTCCTCCTCCCTCCCAGGCTTGCAGCTCCAGCGCAAGCCTGGAGGGAGGGGGTGGCGGCGCCTGGATCCTGGAGCTAATGAGTCAACTCCGGCACCCGGGCACCGGGCGGGCGGGCAAAGGGGGGCTGGCAAGGGAGGGAGAGAGAACGGGGGGGGGCTCAGCTCTGAGCCCCTTGCCGTGCCAGAGGGCTCCTGCCCGGCCCCCGGGCCGCTGCACATGGAGGGCCCAGGGCCGGGAGTGCAGCGTGGAGGCTGCTTCAGCCCTGCAGCCCGTGGGGCAGCGCATTGGGGTCCGGGCGGGGGCAGCGCGGAGCGGGCAGGGGCCGGGTGGGCGGTGCGGGCCGAATCCCCGCTGCTGCCGGGGAGCCCCGTGCCTCTCCCTCCCGCTCTCGGCTGCGCTGCACTCCAGCGGCTGCGGCTTCTTCCCGG